AACCCACGGGCTCAGGCAATCCACTCACCTCAGCCTCCCAAAGGCGTGGGATTACAGGCTGAGCCACCGAGCCCGGCGGCTTTTTTTTTTTTTTAATCAGAGTCTTGCTTTGATTCCCAGGCTAGAGGGCAGTGGTATGGTGACAGCTCACTGTAGCCTCCAACTCTTGAGCTCAAGCAATTCTTTTGCCCCAGCCTCCTAGTAGCTGGGACTACAGGTGCCCACCACCATGCCGGGCTAATTTCAATTGATTTGGTAGCGTTTTTCATTTTGTTTTGTTTTGTTTAATATTGCCCTAGGCCGGTCTCAAACACTTGGTCTCAAGTGATCCTCCTGCCGTGGCCTGCTGAGTAGCCAGGACTACAGGGCACACTGTACTATACACAGTAATTGAAAAAAAATTATGGAGACAGGATCTCACTGTATTGCTCAGGCAAGTCTCAAACTCCTGGAATCAAGTGATCTTCCTACTTCAGCCTCCCAAAGTGTTGGGATTACAGACAAGAGCTGCCATGCCCAGCCTCAAAACTATCCTTTAATCGATGAAAGATCTGTTTTGGGCAGTGACTTTATGAAGCCAGCGTGGCTATGTGGGGTCTTGCTGCATGAACTTGACTGAGTCAGGCACTCTCACGGAGCTACAGTTCCTTATCTGTAACACGAATATAGAATCTGTCTCACAGTGATGCTGTGAGGATTCAAAACACATGGGCAGAGCACAGTGGTTCACGCCTGCAATCCTAGGACTTTGTAAGGCTGAATGAGAAGGATTGCTTGAGCCCAGGAGCTCAAAACCAGCCTGGACAACATAGTGAGACCTCATCTCTACAAAAAAAAAAAAAAAAAATTAGCTGGGCATGGTGGCATGCGTTTGAAGTCCCAGCAACTCTGGTAGGCTGAAACAGGAGAATGGCCTGAGCCCAGAAGGTCGAGGCTGCGGTGAGCTGTGATCGTGCCCCCGCACTCCAACCTGGGTGACAGAGTGAGACTCCAACTCAAAAATACCCAAATCCAACCAAGACAAAAACCAGCAGACCCCTGTCAGCACACAGTAGGTATTCCGTAGTGGGCGATCATGGCCGATGTCACTAATATCCATGTCCCTCGAAGAAGGCTGCTGTATTTCAGCTCCATAGATAAGGAGACTGAGGCACAGAGCAGTGAAGCAGTGTTCTCAGGGAGCACCCCGACCCTGCTCTTTGTACCCCCAGGTCTGTCCTCCTGCCAGCTGCATAGGCAGCAGATCTTGCTGAGTGGTTACATCAACAGCACCGCCACGTCCTACCTTCCTCAGTGCCAGGATTTCGGGGACTACGCGCCCATCCAGTGCGACGTGTGGCAGGCGCAGTGCTGGTGTGTGGACGCAGAGGGAGTGGAAGTGTATGGGACACGCCAGCGGGGGAGGCCCAGACGATGTGAGTGTCACACAGCACCGGCTCCCCAGAGGAGGGGAGGAGGTGCGGCTTTTCCCACTGGGAACCAAAAACGCTCAGGGCTCCCTGACAACATGGGCAGAGTGCCTGGCCCGTGGGAGAAACACTGGAAAGCTCCAGAGGGAAGGTTAGGTCCCTGCAAATATTTCCAAGTGGCACACTGTCATAGTCACAGGCTGATCAGTTGCAGCAAAGGCAAGATTTCACCACATATCGCATGTATCCTGTTGCAAACTGTAAGTCACTGTTTTGGTCTGTCACATACTGTATGAGGACCCTTCAGCCAGTCGGGACCACATAGATCATGGTGGTCCCATCAAGATTATAAATGAACTGAAAAGTTCCTCTTGCCTAGTGACGTGTTGATGATCCTGGCCCTGTGTGGGCCTAGGCTAGTGTGTGTGTGTGTGTGTGTGTGTGTGTGTGTGTGTGTCTTAGATTTTAACCAAAAAAAGTTTTAAAAGTGAAAAAAACAATCTACAAAATGTTAAAGAATAAAGACATAAAGAAAGAAAGTATATTTGTCCACCTGTACAATGTGTTCGTGTTTTGACCTGTTATTACAAAAGACTCAAAAATTTTTAAAAATTATGTGTATAAAGTATAAAAGTTACAGTAAACGAAGGTTAATTTACTATTGAAGAAAGGGAAGAAATGTAAATAAATTTAGTGCAGCCTAAGTGTAGAGTGTTTCTAAAGTCTACAGTAGTGAACAGTGGTGTCTGAGAACTTGACAAAAGTCTACGGTAGTGGACAGCGGTATCTGAGATCGTCACACTCACTCATGGGTTCACCCAGGGCAACTTCCAGCCCTGTAAGCACCATTCATGGTGACTGCTTTATACAGATGTATAATTTTTTATCTTTTATACCGTATTTTTACTGTACATTTTCTACATTTAGATGCACACACACCACTGTGTTACAACTGTCTACAGTATTCAGTCCAGTAACATGCTGCACAGGTGGGTAGCCTGGGAGCCACAGGCTAGACCATCTAGCTAAGGCGTGCAGCAGGATAGACCATCTAGGTGTGTAAAAGCACACTCTACAATGTTCACACAACAACAAAATCACCTAATGACAGATTTGCCCCTGTCGTTAAGTGACGCGCGACTGGAGAAACATATGCACCTGCTCATGCATAAGACTTTTAATTGTTTTTCATGGAAACATTTAGGTCCGAGGAACTGTGAGATAAGAAACCGCCGCCTTCTCCATGGGGTGGGGGACAAGTCACCACCCCAGTGTTCTGCGGATGGGGAGTTCATGCCTGTGCAGTGCAAATTTGTCAACACCACGGACATGATGATTTTCGATCTGGTGCATAACTACAACAGGTAAGGGGAACCGGCCTCTGGGATACACTTGTCATGGGGCTGTTGCCTGCCAAAGCCCATGCTCACACTGAGCAGGGGAATTTCTGTGTCACGCGCACACCATAATGGGAAATTCAGGGCTGCCTTCCTTCCTCTCGTGTGTGGCGGTTGGGCAGCTGAATCGCTGCAGCGTTTTTAACAAAGTACAATGGCCATCACTATTAAGTTGAAAATATCCATGCCCTCTGGCCCAGCCAGTCCATGGATATGTACAACAGCAGAATGTGGAGGTACATGGGTGTCTGCTGCATGGTTTTCATTGTAGCAGGAAACGAAGAACCAAGGAACTGATCATAAAAGGTGGTTGACTGAATAAATAAACGTGTGTCTGCTATAAATATTTACGTAGCCACGAGAATGAATGTGTTAGAGCTAAAACAGTTGACTCACAGAGGATTTCACAGAATATTATGATAATCTGATACAAGACCCAAAGCGCAGATAACATAATGCGATTTAATTTTCTAAAGAACAAACGAGCAAAAAAAAAAACCCTTTATGTATGCCTCTCTGCTTATATGATCATGCAAGTGTCTGTGTAGAACTCAGTGAGTGCAGAGGTTGACACGAATGAGCACATATTACGGGGTTACCAGGAGCTGCTTTGAGGGTCTGGTCTGTTCTGCTTAAAAACGGGTGGGCAGAAAGGCATCAGCAGAAAAGAAAAAGAGACAGCACTTCAAAAAGTGTGGATAGCATATATTTATAAATGTGTGTAAACTGTGTGTATGCATGCACTTGCAAATAACTGGAAATATTTACATAACATATATTAAAAGGGAGACGCATTATAAAACTTGGCCCAGATAGACAGGTGGCTTCTGGGTACTCTTGATTCTTGTAAAGGGCTCTTGCAGACTTCACTGGTAATCGAGCCATTCTGGGTAAAGAGAAATAAGAATACTAGTCTACAAATACCAATATGAGTTCTCTTGGAGAACTTGAGCCTCGGTATGGCTGGCTTCCAGACATCCAGTTTTTTTCCCCGTGTGAGAGAGGAAATTCTCACAGGCTGTGCCAGGAGGGGTCAGACCAGCAGCCTGGGCAGAAACTGCCCCCTGAACAGGCTTTATCTCAGCTGCATCATAGTTTAAAAACTGGGAACTTTTATTAGGTTATTCCCCACGAAACTTCTATTTCTGCACGTAAAAAAAAAAAAAAAGAATAGTTGAGCACAAGCCGTTTCCTACATGCAACCTAAAACACAAAATTTGGAATTCCAGTGAGGCCATGTGAAGTCACCCAGGGCATGAGGAAGCCAGGCCTCAACTGCCTTTTGGGACCACGACAAACCCTGCTATGCTCCGGTCCCTCCGGTTACCACACCCTACTTCCTTCATCCCTTTGTATGACCTGCCTGGCCCTAAAGCCTTTGCCTTTGTGACCTACATTCTGCCTCCGCCTCTGCCACTGCATGGAGACCTGGTCACTTACCCATTCGGAGCCTCAGTGTCCCCATCTATCAAATGGAGGACCATGCCCCACTCATCAGGTCACAGTGAAGATCTGCTGTGACCTCATGTAAGAAACCACCACAAGTTGACAAGGTTGTAAATTATTAGGCCTCTGTAATGGATTCTTACCCACCGCCCAGTTTTAGCAAATGGAGGTTAGGTGATCTCCGCTCAGGCCTGGAGAACAGCCTTTCTGGGAGAACAAACAAATCTCAAGCAGCCAGGGTTACTGAATGCTCGTCATGCAAACCGATGTGTCCTCAGTTCAAGGCCAACAGAATGCTTCCTATATACAGGAAATTGTATACTGTAACTATACCCAGTATATACAGCAATTGTAGACTATAACTCTCAAATTATTTCTGAAAGTAATTTGATCGTTATAATCTCCATATACAAATGAGGACGCTGAAAAGCAGAAGTTAAAGAAGTCGTCCTAAGAAGTGTGGTTAGTGGGTGCTAGGGCCGTCTGGCTCCCATTATGCAGTCAGACTCCTCTCCGTTCCCCTCAGGCGCACAGCACAAAGCTCTGCTTCCTGCGGGTCCCACAATCCATGCTTGCAGGGTGGGTGAATGCATCCCAGAGCTTGGCGGGTTCTGTGCTGAGGCTGGGGCACCTTTCACAGCTACTTCCACAAGAGGGCAGTCGAATTAAATGCAAAAGATCAGCTCTAAGCTTCCATTGTTTAAAACAAACACCAAAAAAACTGTACTCCTGAAAGGAGATCCTTCCCTTTTTTGTACACAAGCATGTCTCGGGGCAAATTCTAGTTTAGGAAGGTCATGGGAAGGGTTGAGGGGGTCGGTTACTGGAAGCCCAGCTGTAATGGGATTTTCTGATACTCATGTAGACCTGGGCAGTCCCAGGCCCCTCTGGCAAGGTGGAAGGAGCCAGCCGAGGCCACTTGAGGCGTCTAAGCTTAGCATCTACGGTTGCCAGAGAAAATGCTAGAAGGCCAGTTACATCTGAATTTCAGATAAGCAAAGAGTAATTATTTCAGTGTGAGTGTGTCCCCGACGGTGCATCAAGCATTTGAAGCCTGGGGCGCGGGTAGGGTCTATCCTAATCACCATCAGACTTGGATTTCTAAAAGAATGGAGTTGGGTGGGGAAGGGGAGAGTGGGGGTTGGGAGGTGGCCCTCCAAGGTGACTACACCTGTCTGAAAGAGAGACGATGCTGACATGGAGTAAGTGACAGAGAGGACGGCCAAGAGATGGGCCAGGACTGGAGAAAAATTTACCAGATGGAATCCACAAAGCTTGGCGAAGGAAGAGATGTGGAAGGGTGGGGGGAGTCAAGGACAACTCCCCGGCTGGAGCTCTAGATGGATGGATGAGGATGAGGGAGGGTTGAGGGTGAGTGTGCAAAAGAAAAACACAAAGTGGGTTCTGGAATATTGAATCTGAGGGGATTTCTTTGGGAAATTCAAATGGAGAAATGCGGTAAGGCAGTGACTTCCTTAAAGTCACAGGGAGGCTAGAAGCCCATGGGAAGCCCATTCGCCAACCGTTGTGAGTTCGTAATGTGCTGGGTGATGATACGCACTTGAACTTGGTCATAGTGTTTGCCCATCTCAAGTAGATTCTTTTGCTTGTGACACCGATTTGGCTGGCGACTTTCAAAGAACCATGCTGGGATAGGAATGAGCTTTGCTAGTCCTTCTGACTCAGGCTCCATCTTTCACATGGCCCCAGCCCAGGCACACATTCTGGACATGCCGCTGATGATAAGCAAAGGTCTTAAGAGCCTTTGACGGGGTTGATGCCACTACCAAGGCCTGCGTGGTCTGAGTTCATTGGCTTCTTTATCGGCCTTTGTCCTTAGTGACTAAACTCACTCAGACTTCTCAGTCACCAGTGTCATCTCAAACACCTTGGCCACCCATGCTCCCCAGGTTACCCAGTTGGAAGGATCAGAGTCATCTTAATATGTTGCAAAGAGGCTTCTCAACCGGAACATGGAAGGGACCATATGAAGAAATGCTTGCAGGCAAATCATCTGATCACCCTCACTGGAGACCCTTGCAGTGGTGGGCTATGCATCAGGCACTATAAGGCCTTCCTTTAAGGAGTACCCACTGTACGCAGAAGAGAATCAGATACATGGCTAACTTATTAATCAGTGGTTAGATTTCTAGAGGGACTGCTTGTAGACAATGTTAGGGAATCTTGCTGAACCCAGAGATATGATTCCTACTCTGAAAGTGAACAAGACCAGGTGTCTGTGGGACACAAGTATTTCCTAGTCTCTGCTAAACCTTACTTGTAATTCTGCTAACTTTAGGTTGGCCACAGTCTGTGCATAAACTCTGAACCGCTGCCATTTGCTCCTTGGTCAGCATTGTCTTTCTTGCGGGCCCTTCTGTGAGCCCCCTGAGATTTTTCTTTTTATTCGACAAAAGGCAAGTGGTCCTTTCCACTAGACAAAGTACATATTATTTCTTATTTAAAAATATTGTGCTTATCTTATTTTTAACTTTATTTTTCAATACTTTTGAGTGATACAAATAATTTTTGGTCTGGACATTAAGAGTGACCACTGGGCCAGGCACGGTGGCTCACGCCTATCATCCCAGCACTTTGGGAGACTGAGGTGAGAGAATTGCCTGAGCCCACGGGTCCAAGACCAGCCTGGGCAACTTGGCGAGGCTCTCTCTACAGCAAATAATTAAAAAAAAAAGATTAGCCAGTCTTGGTGGGACATGCCTGTAGTCCCAGCTACTTGGAAGGCTGAGGTGGAAGGATTGCCTGAGCCCAGCAGGTGGAGGCTGCAGTGATCATGAGCATGACATTGCACTCCAGTCTGGACAACAGAGTGAGACTCTGACTCAAAAAGAAAAAAAAAAGTGGCCTCCACTCCCACCTGTGTATATTGTACCTGACAGGTGATTTTTTTGGTCCCTATGTCCCCTCTCCTTTCCCCTTTTGAGTCTCCAGTGTCTGTGATACCATTCTCCATGTCTTTGCAGATCTATCAGTTTAGCTCCCACTTGTAAGTGAGAGCGGGTCGTGTTTGGTTTTCTGCTCCTGTGTTAGTTCACTTACGCTGATGTTCTCCAATTCCATCCAAGTTGCTACAAAAGGCATGCTTTCATTCTTTTTTGATGGCCGAAGCGTATTTCATAGTGTATATATGTCACATTTTCATCCACTGATTGACTGATGGACAGTTAGGTTGACTCAAAAAAAAATGTGGTTAATGTGTTGATCTCATTTCCCCCCTTTCTTCTGATATGCTCGGAACAGGATAAAAGTGGACATTAGAGGAAGTCGTGAGAAAAGCAAAATAGGAGTAGAAAATAAGAACAAGGCAATACAGAATTTGGTCCATGCTGATTTTTCTACAGAGTTATGACAAAGTGAGGGGTTACACATTCATCTCTGAGCTCCTAGAACCAGAGAAAAGATATAACAGTCTAAGTCATTCTGTTTCTACCAGATAACACTAAGCCATTTCCTCGGGGAACACAACTTCTTTTGAGGATAAAGGGAACTTTGTTTCTCAG